CTTAGTTTGTAAATCAAAGGTAGGGCACGACCCTTTATTTTAAACCCAAAGCCAGCCTTGATCAATCAATCTAGGTGAAAGACATTATTAAGTGAGGAGTTTGGCTAGGGTGGTACATTTATTAAAAGATAATGCAAGTGTCCTAAGATGAGCTCAATGGGAATAGAAATCTCATGTAGAACAAAAGGGTAAAAGCTCATTTGATTTTGATTTCTAGTACAAATACAAACTATGAAAGCATGGCTTATCAATCCTTTAGACCATCAGAATTTAAAGCTAAAGGTGCTAGAAACCACACGGATAATTCACTTGTGGCAGCCAAGCATTCATAGTGAGTTTGCTTTTTGATCCTTGAATGTCAGCTTTTTTGATCATTATGAAGCAAAATTCACCAAGTGTTGGATTGTTCACCAGCCACTGGAAACATGAACTAGGTTTAGACTATTATGAGATAGATTAGATTTACCTTACTAATTGCAGTGTCACAATAGTAATTCAACCTAGTATGAAAATAATCATTGATTCGCACAATAGGTCATCAAACTTGGTTGAAAAGCTAAAGGCACAACGTTACCATGTACTGGACTATAACCAAATGCCTTCAAGTCAAAATCTAGGCTAAAAGTGATGCATGTGCCTATCACCCAAATGTTGACCAGCAGTAAGGGTCAATGCCTCTAAGGGCATGTGTCCTTAGTGCAGCCCCCATGTTGAACAAGCTACATGGGCCTCCTTAGAGCTCAATTCCCATCGAATGGTAGGTAAAATCCTTTATAGATAACTTAAATACATGATGGGATATTGTATGTGGTAGAGTAGCCTTGCTACCACATCCATTAAGATTCAACCCTTTATTGCTTCAATTTGTCCCTTTCCCCACCACACCCATCGAAGTCCTCTCACTTCATTTTTTTACACTGCACCCTTTTAGGGTTAGGGATGAATGGTGTTCTCCATTGCAATAGATTCAGTTAGGTATTTGTTATAGCCACCAAGTAAACTATAATTAAATGCCTTTGGTAGTTGGTACAATGACAGCCTCACCCTTGGTGTGGGCACTTACCTCGAACTCCATCAGTGTACGCCAACCCCTGGTGTAGGTTGTTGCCTTGAACACCATCAATAGCCTGTGGCCCTTTGTTAGTGTAAGCAATAGCATCCAATACCATCGACTGATGCTGGCCTATTGTTACCCCATACACCATTAGTAGATGTTGGCCTTTGGTGTGAGATGTTGCCTCGAACACCATTCCAAATGGTGGCACTTGGTATGGGCACTTACCTAAACCACTGATAGTGCAAGCGGGTTCTTGGTGTGGGTTGTTACCTCAAACTCCTCTTAGTAGATGTTGGCACTTGGTACGGTAAATGTATCGTGAACCTCCCACCCATAGCACTTGTCTACCCCTCAATCACCATCAACATCAAATGATGCTCAATGCATGCATCACATGCTCTAATCTTAAGCCAAACTCTGTGTAACCTTGGATAGGGAATTGACTCTGTTTGCCTAAGTTAGCCTATAAAAGTCAAGTGCTTAACATAATTCCAGCTTGTCAAAAATTGTGCTATAGTATTAGGCATTCTAGAAGCCCATAAATCTGATCCTCTTAGGACTATGTTTAAGTGTGCCCATACTTACGTCTAACTATGCACCCACACCTCAATCATCAGTGCCTACTGCTGGGTCTGATTGTATGCTCGTGCATCGCTCACTAGCACCTACACCTAGGCTTGGCTTAATTCTACTGAACTTGAACACTATGCCTAAGCCTCTAAAGTCTTGATCACTACCCATACGACTAAAAAAAGCTAGTTTCTCATGACCTAGGCCTCTAGTAGGCCTTCAGGCCTAGCTCCCTAGCTATTGAACTTATCTCGCTAGAATTGGAACTACTCATCGACTCGGAAAGAACCCTTAGGCCAAGGTCGTCTTGTAAACCATGACACATGTGTCACTAGTTGAGACTTAAGCTTTGACTCATAAGGCTCCAAGACCTAGGAATGGACTCTTCCAACTTCCCACATTAGCCTTCAACTGAATTAATGCACAGACACCCAAGCTACTGCTAGATAAGCCTGCATATAAGGTGTTTAATGGAAAGCTAAAGAGAACAACAAAGATAGGCAAGAGTAAACTTGTATTACTCCAGTTATGGTGTGTAAGGGTGGGTGCACCTCCTATTTATAGTTAAAACCCCCTTGAATCAATGGTTGACTTTGTTCCTATTCTAATGCTCACAAAGAGTACAATATGTATAGGACATACAATGGGATTAAAACGAATATTCCTAAATTTACATGTCTACACCTACTTTGGTTTTGCCTGCACCTAGGCTTACTCCCGTGTTCATGCTGGGTTTGTCTAAAAGTTGCCAAATTGGATCCCTTGGCCTGAGCTACCTAAGCTTGTTTCAGTGCTTGCACACCCATCCTAGGTCATGGTCCTACACATAGGGCCTCCATTACACCTTTGGGCCTAGTTTCCCTTACATTCTGACTTGGTCCATGTTGCCTTAAAACCATTTCCCATCTTGGTAAGAACCCCTCGAGAGCAGAATGCATGCGCAAGCACCAGAACTTCCATGCAAGCTCCCCAAACTAAGGTTAACACTTGTAGATGGGCCTCAGATGGACTAAGCCCTGGTACAGGTGGACTAGGCCTTGGTGTGGGCACACTAGGCCATAGTAGACCTAACTATCATCAAGTCCAAGTAGATCCAATAGATAGAACTTTCTAGATGGATCTAGAGGCTCCCATGATAGTATAGTTCCCTACATAATTCAAACCCTTGACGTATATCTCATGTAATCTCTTTGTAATCTTGGACATTGTAATAGCCATTGTATTGAGTCAATCCTAGCCATTGATTCATGGGGCTTTAACTATAAATAGAGGGCTTCCCCACCCTCATTTGGTATACAAAAAAACTTGAGTGAATACAAGTTGTAGCATTTCCAAGCATCTCTTGCTTTCTAGCCTTTTCTAGCTTTATAGTGCCTTTCAATGTTCTTTTGAGTGCTCATTACTTGAAAGCATTTGCATGCTAACTTAGGCATACAAGGAAGGAGTCCAGCCTAAGGCCACATGGCACATTTGGTTTAAGTCCTAGGCCCATGACACATGCACATGCCTCAAGTACCATCGGGACATGTTAGCCTATGGTCTCAGCGTATGTTTCGACCACCATCAATATATGCAGGCCCTTTGTACAGGTAGTTCCCTCAAACACCATCAACATATGCTGGGTTGTGCACCATGCACACCATGATAGATAGTAGGTGGGCTTAAGCACATCTTCATATTTCTACCATGCCAATGCCATTTTTATTGCTTGTAAATTTTCATAAGCACTCACTGGTGCCCACACCTAAGCTTGGTTCAATTTTTCCAAACATGAACAATGTGCTTGAGCCTCAAGAGTCTTGATCACTACCCATACCACTACTTTGGGCTAGTTCCACATAACTTGGGTCTCCAGTAGGCCTCAATGCCTGGTCCTTCTAGTTGTCAGACCCTATCCCACTAGAACTAGAATTGCTCTTTAACTCAGAAAAAACCCATAGGCTTGGACCAATTTGCAAACTATAACACATGCATATGCCTTAACCACCATTGATACATCTTGGCCTTTGGTCTTGACATATGCTTTAACCACCATCAACACATGTTGTGTCATGCACCATGCACTGGTATCCTAGGCTCAGGGTGTGTCACAGGCTCTGACCTAAGACTTAGAATCCGTGTGACTTAGGCTTGGAATCACCACCTTCTACCTAAGTCAGCCAAGAACACAAGTGTGCGGGCACTGAACAATGGAAAAACAAAATGCACAAGTTTGAGAAAAATAGAAGAATAAGAGAATTGTTGGAATATACTCTATATTTTACTAAAGCAAAAGTGTAAAATGATTTACAAAGGAGGGTGGGGTGACCCTCTATTTATAGTTAAGGTCTCCAGCTACATTTATGGCTAAATCCTAGAATCAAGGAATTAGAATCAATCAAGGATCATACAGATTACATTAATGTATGATTCTGCTTTCTGATTTTTAGGGTCAACCAGATCTTCCAGAAGGCTCATGCTGATCCTATGCGCTTCTAGAAGATCTTGCTATACACTTTCTCTCTTGGGCCTTCTTGGATGTGGTACGAGCATCTTGCGAGCCTGGCCCTGGTCGTGCAAGACATGTAGGCGATTTAGACTCCTCTCCAAGGGCTAATTTACAAACCTTCACCAATGTTCCTGGTGCGCGACCCTCAACCTTGGGTCCTTGAGCCTGTGCACCTGGTGCACTTGCCCAAGGTATGATTTTTCCCCCACCTGATTGCACAATGCCCTCGTTGCATCCTCTACATGGTACTGCTTCATCTGGTCCCAAAACTACCATAAGTCTTTTATCGGTTCCTAGTTGCCTCACTATTTGAAAGTCCTTTCTAGCACACCAAGTACTCCTGTCTTGGTTGTTTGTTCTTCTGTCTCACTTTTTAATCAACTATGATGCTATGAACCTCCTTCTCATATAAGGCCCTAGCTCTCAATAGGGCATGCTTTAACTTTACCCATCTTGGATCTCCTTCATCCTCACAGAATGGCTTAAGCATGCTAACTTGGAACACCAAGTGTACCTTTAGCTTGGGTGGCATATCTAACTTATAGGCAACCTTGCCTACTCTTTTGACTACTCAAAAAGATCCCTCATACCTATGAACTAGGCCTTTGTACAATAGTGTTGGTGAAGCTATAACCCATTGTGGCAGACAATGGATTGTAGCTTCACCAACAGTAAGTCTCATACTTGGAACTGCATGTCCCACCTATTCTGGTCTACCCACTTTTTTGACCTCTTTGTCGCTTTATGTAGATAGACTCTGGCTAAGTTAGCTTGCTCCTACCAAGCCTTGGCAAACTTGTATACTATTGGATTCAGCCCTGTATAACCTTCAGCAATCGAATTGGGTGTTAACGGTTGCTGACCTGTCATGATCTCGAATGGAATCTAATTCGTTGCCTCACTCCTTTGCAAGTTGTAAGAAAATTGAGTGACATCTAACAGCTTTGCCAGTCCCTTTGCATGGCACTCACATAGTGCTTGAGGTAGATCTCTAATAGCCCATTCACATACTCAGTCTACTTGTCGGTCTGTGAATGTATGCTAGAGGAAAAGTTCAAGTCTAACCTTAACAGTTTGAATAACTCAGTCTAGAACTTACCTGTGAAATGCTTGTCCTGATCACTAACAATGGTCCTCAGCACTCCCTAGTACTTCACCATGATCTTCAGGAACAATCGGGCTGCTTCTTCGGCTGGGCACTCTTTGGTTGCTGGAATGAAAATCCTATACTTGGAAAACCTGTCCACTACTACCATGATGCTTCCCAATCCCTCTACCTTGGGTAGACTGACTATAAAGTCTAGAATGATGCTCTCCCATGGTTGCTCTAGCACTAGCAATGGCTCTAAGAGATCGCTTGGTATTTTCAGCTCCACCTTGTCCTGTTGGCACAGAAGACAAGTCTTTACATAGGCCTCCACATCTTCCCTCATGTACGGCTAGTAATATTAGTCCTCTATCAAAGCCAAGGTACGGCTCACCCCTGGGTGTCCAGCCAACCTCGAATCATGGCACTCATGTATGACTTCCCTATGAAGCGTCCCATGCTACAGCACAAATAGCCTACTAACCTTGGTGTACAATAAACCATCTTGCAGCCAAAATCACCTAGTCTTACCTTGCTAGGCGTACTCCATGAGAGCCTTGGCTGTAAGATCATGCACAAGCCCTTCCTTGATGTGCGACACCAAAGATCCCTTTGGTTGGCTAATGGTAGCAAGGTTCACCTTTCTGCTCAAGGCGTCAACCACTAGGTTCACCCACCCTGGCTTGGACTCCATCTAGAAATCAAACTCCACAAGAAAATCCTACCACCTCACTTGCTTGGGGGATAGCTTCTTCTATGACTAGAAGTAGTTGGTCACCACATTGTCCATTCTAACCACAAACCTCGACCCTAATTGGTAATGGTGTCAAATGTGCAAGTAGTGCACCATTGCAGTCATCTCTTTCTCTTAGACCATGTACCTACACTCAGTTTCATTGAGCTTTTTGACTCTCGAATGCAACCGGATGTCTCTCATACATCAACACACCCCTATTACATAATTTGATGTGTCTATATGCATCTTATATGGCTTGGCATGGTCTAGCAAGGCCAAGACTGGTTTCTCAATCATAGCATACTTCAATCGATCAAAAGCTTTCTGGCACCTTGCGCTCCACTGTCATGCTCTTTTTTTCTTAAGCAAGTTAATCAATGGCGTGGTTATGGTTGAGTGGCCTTTGATGAAGGTCTTGTAGTAGTTGACCAGCCTAAGGAATGACCTCAACTCAGTGACCTTGGTTGGTGGTTCCCACTCTAAAATGGCATGCACATTGCCTTCATCCATGTGAATCCTACCACCTCCCACTATGTGGCCTAAGAACAAGATCTCCTACTAGGCAAATGAGCACTTCTCCTTCTTGACATACAGCTTGTGCACTTATAACACTTTAAACACCTATCTTAAGTGGTCTACATGCTCTCCCAATGTCTAGCTATAGATCACAATGTCATCTAGATAAACCACAACAAATTGATCAAAGAATGACTGAAGTACCTTGTTCATAAGTGTACAAAAGGTTGCTAGGGCATTGGTGAGTCCAATGGCATGAACAAGAACTCATACGAGCCATACCAAGTGACATACGCTATCTTGGGCTTATCTCCCTCCATGATCCTAACCTGATTGTAGCCTGACCTCAAATCTAGCTTGGTGAACCACCTTGAACTCCTAAGTTGGTCAAACAATTTGGCAATGAGTGGGATAGAATACTTGTTCTTGATGGTCAGCTTATTCAAAGCCCGATAATCAATACACAACTACAACGACCCATCATGCTTGTGCTAGAATAGAACGAGTGCACTATATGGACCTTAGATGGCTTGATAAAGCCTGAATCAATCAACTCCTTGAGCTACTTCCTTAGCTCCTCCAACTCTAGTAGGGACATTTGGTAAGGGGCTCTAGCTGGTGGCTTGGGCTTGGGCACCAACTTGATCTTATGGTTTACCTCTCTTTTAAATGGTAGCTTGCTAGGTAGCTTTTCGGGCATCACATCACTAAAAGACTCGAACACCTTTAGCACCTCTAAGAGGGTATTAGACTCTTCCTCTCTCGACTCCTTATACTTCAAGGCTACCAAGAAGGTGTCTTCTTCCTTGTTCACTGCCATGGCAAATTAAATTGCTAACACCACCTTAGACCTAATCTTGAATCCTCGCCTCAATGGTACAAGGCATTGGCACCGTGCAACCAGAATGCAAATACAATTGGCAAAATGCACAAAGAAGGCATTAATTTGAACAAGGAAATCCAACCTAATCACAAACTTATAGTCATCGAAGGTTATTACCTCATTGGTTTCCTTGCCCTTCTAGTCTCTAAGCTACAACTCCACTCCTTGTGCTACTCTAATGGCTAGAGCTTCTTTGGAGTTCATCATCTTGATGGTACTAGTCCTTTTTTGCACCTTCAATCTGAGCTCTTGGGTTTAAACCCATGAAATAAATAAGTGTGAGGCACTTGTGTCTACCAGTTCACTCAGTTTCTAACCCGTAACCATTAGATCAGCAACCATCAAGCCTTTTGGTTTGCAGCTCCCCTTACTCTAGACAGCATTGAGCACCAACGACCCAAGCTTTGCTACCCCTACCTTTAGCTCCTCATCAAACTTTTTGTCTACAATAGCTAGCTTGCCCTTTTGTGGGGAGTTGCATGCTATGTAACTCCCTCCATATAGGTAACATGCGAGTGGCTCTCGATCCTTCTTTACCTTCCACTTCCTTGCTAGTGGCTTTTTCTTACCATCTTTGTCTGAACGGTTTTGATCCCTATCCTTGGATTGTCGATCATGGTTTCTTTCTTTGGACTACTTCTCTTGGTCTCACTTGTCCTTGCCTTTTCCCTTGGGTTTGGAAGACTCAAACTTGTTCAATTGTTTGAACTCCACCAAGGACTCAGTAGTAGTCATGGCTTTAGCCAAGTCACAAACTCTCTACCTTTGTAGCTCGTGCTTCTGTCATGGTCTTAAAGTGAAGTTAGGAATCCCACATCAATCACACTTCTTTCTCCTTGTAAGGCACCTTTTGTGGAATAAAACCATGAGGCCAGAGGGGACAGAGCAGACAATACCTTATAAGGTTGTGAACCATAGTAAGTAGGCTGATCTAGGATGCTGGATTAGTGCATGCTTAGGTCTTGGAGCCACATGGGCCTAGATATTAAGTCTTAGTTTGTGACAAATAGAATCAAAGCCACTTTATGGGGTACTAGAGATGTGCCATGGAGGACAGTGGGCCCTCGTTGGAGTGGGGAAAGATGTCACGGTCCTGAAGTGAAGTCAAAAATCCCACATCAGTTAAATACTAGAGTTGGTCTTAGGATATAAGGGTTCACACCTCTTCCTCCTTGTGGGCACCTTTTGTGGGATAAAACTGTGAGGCCAGAAGGCCAGAGCAAATAATACCTCACAAGGGTATGAATCATAGTAGGTAAGCTAATCTAAGACACCGGATGAGTGAATGCTCAAGTCTTAAAGCCATGTAGGCTTGAAGATTAAGTCTCGATCTGTGGCACTTCACCCACAGCTTCAACCTATCCATGAAAGTAAATAGGCTCTCTATCTTACTCAGATCCAAGATCTGAAGCATCAGTTCAGAGAATTTTTGGACATAGTCCTTTATCTGCCCTTACTGGGTAAGCCTACACAACTTTGCCTGCACCTCATCATTGGCATACTCTGAGTAGAATTGCTCTCTGAACTCATTTTGGAACTCTACCCAGGTTCCAATCATGGCACCTCACACCTCACATCATCACACCTATGCCTTCACCATAATAAGGCAACATCAGTAAGATACATTGATGTAGTGCTTACCTTGGTAGCCTCATCTTACATGCCTGTGGCATAGAAGTATTGCTCCATGCCCCATAAATAGTTGTCTACTTCTTTGGCTGCCCTGGTCCCTTTGAACCCTTTGGGCTTGGGGATCTCCACATGGGTCTTAGATGCTCCAACAAACATGCCATTCCCTATGGTAGTCTTACATGTAGCAAACTCGCTCCTGAGCTTCTCTATCTCTTTGTACATGGCCTTCATGCCATCGTGCATGGTCTTCACCTAGGCCTCCAAGGTCTCGTTTCTTTTGGGGGATCACATCCAGGCCTTGATTGAGAGTAACTTGTAACTCACCCTTGAGCTCCTTCTCGATAGAGTCTAGCACTTCAATATGAGTCTCCACATTATCAAGCTTCTCTTTCATGTCGCCCATGATCACTTCCACCTTAGACAGCCTCCCATATATGGTAGACCAAATGTCTTTCAAACTAGCCTTCTTGCCCCTTTCGCGTCCTTGCTCTTGGGCTTCTAGTTATTGGCTAGCCATATCACTCTGGGATGCCATCTCTTTGACTGCGATCTATCCTGTACACACATAAACAAGCAGAACCAAAACTACTTTGATACCAAATGTCATGGGCTCTGACCTAAGACTCAAAATTCATGCAGCCTTAGGTTTGGAATCACCTCCTTCTAGCCTAAGTTAGTATTATTTTATTTCAAATAAACTTGTACGAATAGAAACATATGTTTTATGACAAATAAGTTATCATAAAGATTTGAAATAAATAATTGTTTAAATAGTCATAACTATTTTAACTTGCTAGGCAAATAGATTTATTTTTTTAATTTTTTACTTATTAATTTTTGAAATTTTAATAAATTAATATTATTTTATTCCGAATAAGCTTTTATGAATAGAAACAATTAGTTTATGATAAAACAGAAGGTAATAATGATTTGAAATAGATAAAATCATTATAACCTTTTTGTTTTGTCATAAAACAATTATTTATGTTCAAACAAGCTTATTCAGAATAAAATAATACTAATCTAATAATATTATGAAAATTAATAACTAAGAGATTTAAAAATAAATTTGTTTGCTAAACCAATTTAAATAATTAAGGCTATATGAATCATTTTCTATTTCAAATCGTTATGACTTTTTTTTTGTCGTAAAACAAATATTAAGTTTGTTCAGAATAAAATAATATTAATTTATTAATATTTTGAAAATTAATAAGAGATTTAAAAAAATATGTTTACCAAACTAGTTCAATTAGTTATAACAATTTGAACAATTATTTGTCTCAAATCTTTATGACCATTTGTTTTGTTATAAAACAATTGTTTCTATTAATACAGTATTATTCAAAATAAAGCAATGCTAATTTATTAATATTCTAACAATTAATAAGTAACAGATTTAAAAAAATGAATCCATTGGTTTGACCCATACAAATAGTTATATTAGTTTGAACAATTATCTATTTCAAGTCATAATGACCTTTATTTTGTTAGAAAATAATTATTTCTATTCGTACAAGCTGAATCTTCAAAATATTAATAGATTAGTATTATTTTATTCTAAATAATTTTGCATGAATAGAAATAATTGTTTTATGACAAAATAGGAGGTCATAATGATTTGAACTAGATAATTGTTAAAATGGACATGACTATTTGAACTTGTTCGGCAAATATATTAATTTTTAAATCTCCTACCTATTAATTTTCAAAATATTCATAAATCAGTATTATTTTATTCAGAATAAACTTATATGAATAGAAACAATTATTTTATAACAAAACAAAATATAATAACTATTTGAAATAAATAATTGTTCAAACAGTGATAACTATTTGAACTTGCTCAGTAAATAGATTTATTTTTTAAATCTTTTACTTATTTATTTTTGGAATATTAATAAATTAGTATTATTTTATTTCAAATATGCTCGTATGAATAGAAACAATTGGATTATGACAAAACTAAAGGTCATAACTATTTGAAATAGATAATTACTCAAATTATCATAACTATTTGAATATGTTCAAAAAATAGATTTCTTTTTTAAATTTTTACTTATTAATTTCTAGAATATTAATAAATTTATATTATTTTATTCAGACTAAGCTTTTATGAATAGAAACAATTATTTTATGATAAAAACAAAAGGACATAATAATTTGAAATAGATAATTGTTCAAATAGTCATAACTATTTGAACTTGATCGAAAAATAAAATCATTTTTTAAATCTCTTACTCATTAATTTCCAAAT